GTTTTCATTATCTCCCTCTGATGAGAATGGAAAAAGGGTGAGAGGAACTCATTCACATGAAGTTTTAGGGGTACCGTCCCAAAGTGGCGCACACAAACTCTGCTTGCATCTCTTCCACCAGAGCTTAGGCATATGGTTATAGCACACAGGGAGGCTGGGTGAGAAGCACTGTCTCTAGCTGTTGTCTTACTAGCAATGGTTATTCTGCTTCAGGTGATTATTGTAAAGAGAAGAAATAATTCGCTAATTCATTTATCTACATTTAATTGTGAAATACCGTAACAAAGTGTTTAGCAAAGTGCCTTGTACATGGTAGATACCAGAAAGATGGAATGACCCTGCTTACTTTCCCCTGGCACCTTACTACGGGCCAAGTATGGTCCATGGTCTGATGGCATCGGCATCACCTGGCAGGTTTGGAAATGCAGAACTTCATCCCCTAGGCCAGACCTACTGAATTACAGCCTGCATTTTAACAGTAGGAGAAACTCCAAACTAGCATGTTCTTTGTAAATCTTTTCATGGTATCTGCTGGCTATGTTACTTTGATCACTTACAATGCTGTTGTGAGAGTTTAGTGAGATAATATGTATAAAATGCTTTAAATCTATAAAGTGTTTTATAACATTATCTAAGTATACATGTTTGAGGAGAAATAATGTGAATCAGAAGTTATTAAAACAGTAACATTTGAGAATCAGTATGTTGTTAGATTTCCAACCTTGCTAACACTCCTTGACATGGCCTTCTGTCTCTAGAAAATGTGCTTGAATTGCCATGCACTGTCTTAGGTACAGAGCTTTTATTACTTAGCTAGATGCTAGGCCTGCCCTTCTAAATTGAGGGTTTTCAGTGTATTTTTAATCACCATTTCTCTTTTATGATGTCTAAATATTTCAGCTTTTTGTATTCTTAATTATAGTACTATCCTTTAATGTGTATGATTGAATATATAGATTTTGACATCAAATGAATGTGGAAATGATTCTGCAAAAAAATACCTAAAAACCTGGAAAATTTTTATCAACGGAGAAAATGAATAGATGATATCAATTTAAATTAAAGAAGTTAACCTAATGTATTAAATTATAAATAACCATTCAAATTCGTACACCATCATTGAGCCATGAGAAACCTTCTCAAGGCCGGCGCGGTGGCTCATGCCTGTAATCCTAGCACTCTGGGAGGCCGAGGCAGGCGGATCGTTTGAGCTCAAGAGTTTGAAACCAGCCTGAGCAGGAGTGAGACCCCATCTCTACTAAAAATAGAAAGAAATTAGACAGAT